TAATGTGGGAGAAGAAGTGGCTGCCTAGTGGTTAGAGCATAGGGCTTGGAATCCTGAGGTTGTGAGTTTTAAACTGCCACACTGGCTCTCTGATTAAGACCCTTAACCCCACACTGCTACCTGAGCACCAATAGAAGGAGTGGTGGCCTAGTGGTTAGGGCATTGTAGCCTCGTGAGACCATCCTGATCTCGCGAGCTTTCAAGGTTTCACTCGCAAATCAGTCTGGAGACTCTCCGTTAAAGAAAATTTGGAGCCGTTCACCAAACGAACGTCCAATCAGCGTTGGCTTTGAGGCGGGTTGAGGTTTGACGCAACGAGAAGCGTGACAGTTCAGTCTAAAGAACATGGCGGCTTCAGCCGATGAAACTAGCGTTAGCGTGGCTATCGAGCAAGTTTTATCGAAATTACAGAGTATTTCTTCACGGAAAGAAGAGCAAAACACTGCTCTGGAGGCTTTTCTCAGAGGAAAAGATGTTTTTGCTCTTCTCCCGACTGGTTTCGGCAAGAGTTTGATCTATCAATTGGCTCCTCTTCGTCGTCGCTCTGTTAGTACGTCATGCTTCGTTGATCTGATTGGTTTATTTGGCCCGTCTATCACCAACATAGGCCAATCAGCTAACCAGTATTTTCCCCCCTTCCCAAAATTACTGCAACGGAAGGTTTCCAGATGGATATGCGGAGCAAATCCATCTGAAGCGAGTCAGGTTAAGGGCATTGCACTTGGGTTCTAGTCGGTTCTGAGTTCGAGCCCCACTCCCACAGACTGCCACTCTGGGTCTCCAAGCAAAGATCCTCAACCCCACACTGCTCCCTGGACGCCACACAATGGCAGCCCACTGCTCCCCAAATGGGATGGGTTAAAAACAAAGAGTGAATTTTGTACTTGTGACATTGTAATGGCAATAAAATCTGGAAAAAAAAGAAGTTCCTAGCTTACTTTTTTTTTTTTATTGAAGGGAAGAAGAGGATTTTAGGGTGTGTGGGGGCACGGCTTTATGTATTTGACCAGCTTCATGTTTCCTCATCAGCTCTGTCAATCATAGAAGCCAGAGAGCCTGCTGTCATCGAACACGTGTTTTTATTGACCTGCACGGGTTACGAAACCGTGAGCGTGAAGGCTACCTCCTGGTATGTTGAGCAGCAGCTATTTATGAGCCGTCTGAATGTGAATTCTGATGTTTATATTCCCACTTCTGATCTATGTGCCTTGGGTGTTGCCTGAGGGGTAACAATGAGGAATTGTCTTCAAGTCTTTACTTGAGCAGCTACATTGCCTCACTTCCTTTGGCTCAGTTACAGCATTTTTCTTCCTTGACTCAGCTATTTTAGGACTGACAGCGGAGCAAGAACTGCTGATAAGTAAAAATAAATAAAAACCTTATTCTGGCTTCATCTCGCCTCCGTTTAGAGTTTAGATTAGCGTGCAGGTTCAGATGGTCGGGATCCATTTTCCTTTATGCAATCATGTCATCAGTTTGATTATAAAGAGAAAGTGAAGCTACAGCAGAGGCAGAACTTAAACTGTAGATAGGAGTGGAAGCAACAGAATCAGTTTTGACGGGTGAAGATGGTTGAATTCTGTCGCTAAACTGCAGCAAACATTGCAGTCATCCTCCCTTAGAGCTCCTATTATTTGTTAAAAACCTCTTTAGAGTTAGCAAAGTAGTTTGAGGTTAACCAACAGGGAGCTCCCTTTGTTACACTTGTGGTTTCAATAAAGAAACACTGATTGCTTATTATTGTTGCTGATTTAACTCTGCAATACTACAACTTACACAACTGCCAAAAGCGGCTTATGTCTCAAGTGAAACCTTTTTGACAGCCTAGAATAAACTATATGAATTAAACTTTTCTACTGAAAGTGTGTCTTTTCAGATACATTTAAACAAAATCAATTGGGTCATGAGTTGCATAAGCATGTTTGCTTTTTAAAAAGCTGTGAAATGTTAAAAACATTTCAAATCACAGCAGAACCAGCTGGTTTTGAGTGGACCACTCCAAGACCTTCACATTGTTTTTCCCATTTGGAGCCATCAGAAGGTGGACTTACTGGAGTTCTGTGGTCCGTTGGTCTGCTGTAACACTGAAGTTTGCTGCACGGAGTTTATGATTGCATAAAATACAACAAGTCACCCAGGTCCTGAAGCAGCAAAGCAGCCCAGACCATGATACTACCGCCTACATCTATGACTTTCGGTAAGTTTCCTTTTCTGGAGAGCTCTTTGTTTTATGCCAGTTGTAAAGGGGGATTTCCAAAGAAAATACCCTTTAAAATATTTCTTATTTGGCCTTCAGAGTCTTTTAGATGTTTGTTTTTTTGTTTTGTTTTGTTTATTTATTTGTTTTTTTTTTGTGGTAGAAATGTGATAATCCTTTGTTTTCTTTTTCAATCAGCAGTAAATTTGCCCTTTTCTCTTTTCTAAATTTCTATAGAGGGAGTCTCCTGTGCTGTTTTGTTTTGCCACTTAGCCTACTTCATGTTGTCAGATGGGTTCTATTTTCTTCTTTAAATGTATAGGAGTAATCAGGGATGGGTGTGGCTAAAAAGAATTGAGCTAAAGATGAATTTATACTTTAACACCAGGTATGTTTGGGTACCTCTCATACAATTTAAATGGAAACATCATTAAAAATGAAATTGGAGTTCTGCCAAAGTGTGACTAACAAATTGAAACTTAAAAATGTGTAATGAAACATATACTAATTTATAGCTATTTATCAAACAGATTAAACTTTGTTCCACACCATGCATGGATAATATGCTAGATTTTTCCCAGGAAACCGACTGAACTTTGACCGGTGATGTTATAGCAGCATGTCTTAAAGCTTTAAATAGAGAGCTCTGTTGAGTAAAGACAGGTTTTACTACGAGGTTAGAAACCTGTTAATATCTAACATGGAGGAAATTGTTCTGGTAGCTTCCCTACTTTGATAAAAACAGAGATGATAGCTTCATAATTTTTGTGGCACAAGATAAAAGTAGAAATTATCCTTAATTAAATTTAAAAGCAACATGATTGAGTTCGATGTAAAAGCTGTTATTATACTATTTCCACTGCAGTTCTAGGTGACAATACAGTGATTTGGATGGAGGACTGTGGTAGGTCACAACAATCGCCCAATTTCAAAATGGAAAAACAAGATAGAGCAGTGAAAACCAGACAGTAAATCACATCCAACCAGCTGCATGTCAATAAAGGCGACCCAGTGTAAGAAAATAAAGTGCTTAAAGTGAGAACTGGTTGATTAATTTTAACAATGCCTTGCTCATGAGCCTCATTTCTCTAGCCCTTTGGCAACTTCAAAGTATCTGAACTATCCACTTAAGATAACTGAGAAATAATCTCACTTAACATAATTAGTTAATTAAAAGTCAGGGTAAAGTATCTGAACATGTAATTACGAAAAACAGGGTTTATGAGCAAAAGTTTACTTACTTCCTATTTCAGATATAACTACTCAAATAACATTGTATGTAATTATTCCAGATAAAATAAAGGTTCTACATATCATTCCTCTTTCTTTAGTATTATTACCATTAATATTATTTGTGTGTTTAAGTTAATTTTATTCATCTGTTTTTCCTGGTTAGAAATCCTCGTCACTATGTTGACACAGCGTCAGACATGTGAGCAATAAAACAAATAAAAGCAATCATACCCAACCCACTGAGTCAAGACTTATTAATAGCCTGTCTAATAAAACAATAATTGTTGCCAACGAGGCGGATATAAGTGGGATTTATCACTAAGGTGTGATGGTATTGTTTTGAGGTTTTATTGCAGCTGGCAGCAAATGAGATGCAGAGAACAGAGATTTAAAACCAGCAGTAATAAAGCCTCCATTAGCCTCTGTTGGTGATAGTTACGGAAGAGGAGTAGGCCACTGAAAAAATAAAAATAAGTCAACTGGTTTTTAAATATTATTTCAGTTTAATATTGGAAAAAAGACAGAATTCTGACTTCAATCTCAGAATTTTGAATCTTAATGTAGATGGGCACCATGAAGGAAGAGATGTGGGAGCACTCAGCTTCACTGACAAAGATGTAGAGTTGTTTGGGAGAAACAGGAACACATTGGTGAAAAATTACGGAATTAAGCGACTTTTTAAAGTCTCAGAATTCTGAGATTAAAGTCAGAATTCTGAGAACAAAATTCAGAATTGTAAGATTAAAGTCGGAATTGTGAAATTAAAGTCAGAATTGTGAGATTAAAGTCAGAATTCTGAGATTAAAGTCAGAATTTTGAGATTAAAGTCAGAATTCTGAGGGAAAAAAAGTCAGAATTTTGAGATTAAAGTCAGAGTTCTGAGAAAAGAAGTCAGAATTCTGAGATTAAAGTCAGAATTCTGAGATTAGAGTCAGAATTCTTATAAAAAACGTCAGAATTGTGAGATTAAAGTCAGAATTCTGAGATTAGAGTCAAAATCCTGAGATTAGATTGAGAATTGTGAGATGAAAGTCAGAATTGCGAGATTAAAGTCAGAATTGTGAGATTAAAGTCAGAATTCTGAGATTAAATTGAGAATTGTGAGATTAAAGTCAGAATTATGAGATTAAAGTCAGAATTCTGAGATTAAAGTCAGAATTCTGAGATTAGATTGAGAATTGTGAGATTAAAGTCAGAATTGTGAGATTAAAGTCAGAATTTTGAGATTAAAGTCAGAATTCTGAGATTAGATTGAGAATTGTGAGATTAAAGTCAGAATTTTGAGATTAAAGTCAGAATTTTGAGATTAAAGTCAGAATTCTGAGATTAGAGTCAAAATCCTGAGATTAAAGTCAGAATTCTGAGATTAAACTCGGAATTCTGACTTTTTTGAGATAAAATTTAAAATCAGTAATCTTATTTTTTTTTTTTTATTGGCCCTAAACCTCTTCCGTAGACAGTAGCAGCAGTTTAGGAGGCAGATAAAACATGATCAGAGTTCATGCGTCTGAAAACCAAAAAGAAAAAAAGAGCAGCTCTGGGGGCGGGGCTTCTGGTTGCGTCTTTTTCCTCCCAGTCTGTTTGTCGGACATTCAGCCCAACATGCCAGAAGCATGACGGAGAACTGGTTGAGCTGGAAGGAGAAGAGAGGAGAGGAGCAATGTTAGAGAAAAGTTTTCTTCAAACGGGAAACATGGAGCAAAGCGGCTCAGAGCTGCAGAAAAGCTGAGTGATGGTCGGAAAGTTTTACCTCCGGAAAGCCTGACGAGGAAATAAAACATAAAGAGGTGAGTTTAGACCAAACACTGCAGGGTGGGACTGATTCCTATCCGCTATGTATCCTAATAAATACCAACTAACATGACAGAACCTGATTTTACTTCACTTTTTCTACTTTGTTTTCTTTCTTTGTTTACTGAGAAGTCAATCCGTTTTAGACGCTTAATCTCATTTTCTCCTCCGCTTCCTGTGAACTTCTCAATCCCCCTTTTAGAAAATCGATGTGTTTTGTTATTGTTTCTTTCCGCTCTGCTTCACCATGAACTTAGAAATGGAGACTTTTGGCCAGAGGGAGGAGCCGCACCCAGAGCCATCTGCCCTCAATCCGCCTGCTTTCTAATCTAACCTTATTCCAACGGATTAGGCAATATAGGAATAACATTGAGTAACTGACCTGCATTGAATTTGGCAATAATGTTACTATTAATATATAAATCCACATTATTTACATCTTTGTTTATATATTTACGCATTTCGGGGTGCTGGTTCCTATCTGCAGCTGTCTATGGGTGGGAGGCGGGGTCAACCATGGACAGGTCTCTAGTCCATCACAGGGAAACACAGAGACATACAAGCATTCACACACACACTCACACCTAAGGAGAATTTAATTAACCGATCAATCATGTTTTTGGACTGTAGGAGGAAGCTGGAGTACCCAGAGAGAACCCACGCATGCACAGGGAGAACATGCAAACTCCATGTTTAGCAGCAAAATGAACATTTTCAGTTTATAAAGGGCAGCATTGGTGCAAAAGAGCATTGATATGGAAGTTCGGAACATTTGGTGCAAATATGCAGTATTTTGGTTTGGTGTTATCAGCGTGACGCAGAGTCTGTGACTTGATTTAGAGGTTTTTTATTATTTCAGCTGTCTGATGGCAGTGGGGTGTTTTTTAGTAATGCAAGCAACTGTTATTAGATGTTTAGATATTTAGTAATTGGCCCTATAGGTGTGATATTTCTAATATTATAAGATATAATTTTCCATTCATCCATTTTCCTTCACGCTTTATTCCAAGCGGGGTCGCTAGGGGTGCTGGTGTCCATCTCCAGCTGTCTAGGGGCGAGAGGCGAGGTCCACCCTGGACAGGTCTCCAGTCCATCGCAGGGCAACACAGAGACGAACGGGACAAGCAACCATTAACGCACAACTAAAGAGAATTTAGAGAAACCAATAAACCTAACCAACCACAGTCTACCTGTTTTTGGACTGTGGGGGGAAGCCAGAGTACCCAGAGAGGACCCACACATGCACAGGGAGAACATGCAAACTCAATGCAGAAAGAGCCAGGCAGGGAATCGAACCCAGAACCTTCTTGCTGCAAGGCAGCAGTGCTACCCACTGCTCTACTGATCAGCATTTCTTATTGCTATTTGAACATTACAATATATAGTATTATGGAAAGAATGAGACAACTTTGTCGTTTTGTATAGACAGGGTGTATACAAAAGGTGGATGACAGTGGATGAGCAGCAGAATAAACATTTTTATTTAATAAAGTTTAGCAGTGATTGAAAAACGGTGAAAAAATGCATTAATATGGAATATAGAGCATTTGGTGCAAATATGTCTGTGACTTTTCAACAGTTCAGCTCTCTGATGGCAGTGGTTTTTTTTTTTTAGTAATGCAAGAAATTGTTATTATTTCGATATTTAACTACTGGCCCTATATGTATGATATTTCTAAAATTATAAGATTTAATTTTAATCATCTATAATAAATATGTGTATAAATTATGTTATTATTACAATGCTGTTGGTAAAATTAGCAAAAGTTATTTATTTAATGACTGGTGATGGTAGCTTGTTTATTTACTGTCATCATTATAATGTTATTCAAAGTAATAACCAGGTTCCTCCTTTTATTAATTGCTTTCTCTCTTAAAATCATTTGGTATTTCTGTTCCTTGTCCTTTTTTGGAAGCAATGGCCCTAAACTGGTGTCTTTCTCTTTATTTCGGATTCCAGGTTAACTCATTTTTGGGTTATATTCCTAAAACTGATTGATTTTCCATCTTTATTCCTAAATCTGCAGTATGGCACGCCGCTCTCAGTGTTCCTCTGCTGGGGATAATCCCCTGGACCCCAACTACCTCCCTCCCCACTACAGGGAGGAGTACCGCCTGGCTATTGACGCCCTGGTTGAGGACAGCTTGGATGGATACTATCACTTGCTCCAAAACGTGGACGTTGTGGACTTTCTGTCGCCGGATGAAATCCAGTACATCCAGAGCGTCGTTCAGCCTCCGAAGCAGAGCATCCACCCTGAGCAGCAGTTCCTGGATTGTGAGGGAGAAGGCTCCTCGGACACCTACTGGCCCATTCACTCTGACCTGGACGTCCCGGATCTGGACCTGGGCTGGCCTCAGGTGCATCACTTCGTTGAACCCACGGAGGTCACGACCCTCGTTAACCCCCCTGAACCGGACATGCCGAGCATCAAGGAGCAGGCGCGACGACTGATCAAGAACGCCCAGCAGGTTGATCCCTCTTTCTCTCCATGCAGAAGCCTGATTCCCTTTTCTGTTGCAGCACCCCAGCGCTGACGAGTTTGTTATGTCCCTCTCCACTTCCCACTCCTCAGGTCATTGCCATAGTGATGGACATGTTTACTGATGTGGACATTTTTGCGGATATTCTCAATGCTGCAGGGAGGAGAGTTGCCGTCTACATCCTGCTGGACGAACACAACACTGATCTCTTTGTTAACATGGTTGCCAACTGTAGAGTAAACCTACAGGCCTTTCCAGTAAGTACATGTTCTATATAATGCGTATTACGTTTAGCAGGTAATACTTTAGATGTTTTAAAGCATATAAGGGTTCTATTGTCAGTGTGTAGCCTGGGTGGGGTGTGGAGCTTCACACTCACTGAGAAACAACAATATTGTTGTTGTTTTTTTTAAAGTATTTTCATAGTTGTTCTCAGAATTACATTTTTAGCATGTCACCAGCTCTGCTGCCTAGTGCTGTTTCCAAAACAATGGAGCAGGAAAGCAGAAGTGCTGTGGTTAGTTTAGCTGTCGGTTGCATAATGCAAATAAAGGAAACTTATCAAAGTTTTCTTTATATCAAGTGACAGTTGATATGGCTGTAGAAATATCACAGCCATATCTGTAGGGACATTGTGACTCAATCAAACAGGTTTTTTTTTTTCTTCTCTTATATAACTGTTATAAATCAGGCTCACAGCACATATCGTCATTGCTAGAGGCAGCATTACTAATTCGAATTTGCCTACTAATTTGACCTGCAGCTTAAAACGTTACTGCTTGCGAGGTTTTTTTTATTATAAATGGTGTGATTGGTTTTTATGCGTGTCCTGCAGTTCATACGCGTGCGTACGGTGTCTGGGATAACATATCAGTGCCGCTCAGGAAAAACCTTCAAAGGCCAGATGATGGATCGCTTCCTGTTGACCGACTGCAGAGCTGTGCTGAGTGGAAACTACAGGTGGGCTTCGTTAAATTTAACATACCACAGTTACACACTGAGGATGAGTTAAAAAACACCTGCAATCATTTTCATGTTAGATTATGCCATATATGCTAAGCATCACTGATCCCCCTCCGTACTTAAGAATAGGGAATAGGTTATTTTTCACAGGAAGGAGCGTTTGTTGCTGAAAAAATTCATATTTTTCTCATCTTACTGAGGCAGTTTTGTGACAAATTCAATTCATGTAGATAACATCTAATGGTTGTCATAGAGCTCTGACAACAACAAGATGCAAACTCTGATTTGCATGCAGCCTTGTTACTGCTCCATTGTTTTCTTTCCTGTTGAGTATTTCTCAGAGATGAGCTACGGCCAAGTTTAGACCAAGAGCTAAAGATGCATTACTGTAAGTTAGAATATCACTTAAAGTTTAGGGTTTTTTTAATTGAATTTTTAAACTAAAGCTTGTGTGAGATACATTCATTACACAGAAAGGGTGAAGTATTCCCACTTGATGATTTTAATAAATGCAGGTAATTAAAACCCAACATTTATATAAGAGGTTGAGGCTATTGCTTTCTTTTTCATTAACATCCATTAATGCTCAGTGTTATTTTTTCATTTAGTGATGATTCTGATGACTTATATCGTAGTTTTTTTTAGTTGCACTGTTATTCTCAGATTGAACAGGACACCTAAAATATAATTAGACGTTTCCTCATTTATAAGGAATACATATCTGCCCCCCTTGATTGAAATCCTTTATTATTTTTCCAATTTTTTGAGTCACCCATCTTTCTGCACATAGCATGGCAGCATCGCTTCTGTCAGTGTGCCCCAGGGCAGCTGTGGCTAACATGTAGCTCACCACCATCAGTGTGTGAAATCGCAAATGACTGAATTTAGTGTAAAGTGCTTTTGGGGTTCTTGGACTTGATGAAAAGTTTTACTATAGAAGCAAATGTGTCACAGTTTTCAAATTAGAATGGATTAATAAAAAGGCTTTTTTTCTTTCCAAAACAAAGCTGCATTTTTTTTGACTTAGAAGTAAAATTAAAAAGAAATCATCCAGACTGAATTTTCACTTTCATTTTTAAGACTGCTCAATTTGTAATTTACATGATTTATAATAAATTTTGGTCACTTTTTGCTAGTTTATCTTTGGAAAAGGAAATGTTAAAAGTTATTTTCATTTTAATTAATCTAGACATGAGCAGTCTTTGAGAAGAAACTGAAAATGCAGTTTGGAGGATTTACTTTAAATTATATCTATTATCTATAAGTAAAAAAAAAAAGCAGCTTTAGTTTCCATTGTATAATTGGAACTAATTTTTATTAATTAATACACAACAATTTAAAGTTTTTTTTTTTCTTTTTAGTGATACATTAAACGTTTGCAATAATTAATTATCTCCATTAATATTTTGTACACATCTGTGTTAAGTGTGGAGACCACTTTTGTTTTTGAATTTGTGTTTTCGGCTTCATATTTCTTACTGGTTCTTGTCTTTCTCCAGTTTTATGTGGTCTTTTGAGAAGCTCCACCGCTGCATGGCGCACCTGTTCCTCGGACAGCTTGTGACCACCTTCGATGAGGAGTTCCGGATTCTGTTTGCTCAGTCTCAGCCGCTGAATGTTGAAAACATGCTCTCCCGGATAGAGGATTTAAGAGTTTTACAGAAGAGACAATTTCCAAATGAAAGCACTTCAAAGTACAGGGAGTCTAAAAGGTTCCTGTCTCTGGACGTTCCCTCTGATGATTGGGCAGGACATTCTTACGATGAGCACGCAGGCGGGAGTTTAAGGATTATGGCTATGAAAAGGCAGGGGGCCGTTCGTGGCCCTGCTGATATGTATAATAGGTATGGTTCCCAGCAGACCCTTGTGGACCCTTCTTTTGATCAGGGCCCAGCACGGATTTTGATGACAGATAATCCTGCCTTAAAGCGTCATTCTTATGCCGGAGATGTTCCAGGGAGATACTCATTGCCATTCTTGCAACAACAGGGAATGCCTGACTCCGAACCGAGAGGAAAGCTTTTTCACAGAGACCAGCAGCTTTTTCCGGGACCAGGAGCAGAAGAAGACTACAGCAGCTATGAGAAGTTCTGGAACCAAGGCTATATGCAAGCAGAACAGTTCTCTGTACCAGGTTTACAACAAGAGGTACTACCACCTGAATTTGACCCTGTTCTTAACTACTTATCATCTACCAGAAATCTAGACTTGGATCAAGGCTCAGATAGATTACTACCTCCAGCGGATATACCTTTTACTTCCCCTCACCCCAAAAGAAGGGGGGTAAGACAGCCATATGTCGGTCAAACCTCTCCTACATCTTCAAACTCAGATCAGAAGCCTTTTATCCGTGACGCCACGATGAACCGCAAGGATCCCACTGTAAAACAGAAGCTTAGAAACTGGAGGATTGGCTCATACCTCAGTGCACATGATAATCCAGAGGAAGAGGCCATCCCAATTGAGCCGACTCAGCAGCCAGATCCTTTCGAAGAACCTGTGGTTCCGATCCAACAAACTGCCCCTTTAGCGGACTTGCCATTTCACAAAATCCCCAACGTGAAAGAGTTTAAGGTTAATACTGTACCTAGGATTAGTCAGATTCCCAGCTACGTCAAAGCACCACCTCAAGAGAAACCGAAGACAGTCCTGGATGAGCCTGCTTCAGTGACAGCTGAAACAAAAACCACTCCAACACTTTTTGAAACTTCCTCCACCGCTGAGGTAAAAAAAGATGAGGAAGAGGACCCAAAACAAACAAAAACCCCAAGGCTTCAAAGGGATGACTCTTTTAGGAAGAAATACAATGCAGCAATGCAGAGAAGCTCCAGATTAAGATCTTCCCTGATATTCAGTTCCCTTGACCAGCAAAACCCTCAAGAAACTACTATTGCAGATCAAGAAGATGAGGGAGGTGACAAAAGCAAAACCGAACAGACCAAACTCCCCCTTGTGTCTCATGTTTTGGGACAAAGGAGGTCTACTGCAAGAGAGCCAATTGAGTGGAGTCGTTACATAAAACCTACCTCAGAAGCACAAAAAACAGATAAGGATGAGGATAAAGATTCATCAAGCGGGAAAGATTCCCAAGACCTTTCAGAAATGCCAGAGGGAAAGGAGCCATTAAAACACACAGATGTAGATCAAGATAGTGTTTCATCATTGATGCCTCAAGTTAAGCTCACTGAAGCTCGGGCTCCCGAAACTGATCAGCTGGTACTATCGACCAAACCTATGCCTACTTTTGTAGATATGAACGATCCAGATAACAGGCTCATTTTTTTTAAAGAACTTGCAGCGCAGCGTAAAGCCGCCAAGGCATCAGAAGCTCAAACGAAAAAAGATAAGGGAGAGTTAAAACCACAACCTGAGCCCAAAACTACTTCAGTTTTCCAGAAGAAGGACCCTGTTTCAAAAGAAACTCCTGAAACTTCAGTAGCTAAGGATTTAGAAAAGACACCTGCTGCAGAGAGTGGAAATACCAGCAAAAAAGACTGTAATAGCACTAAAACTGCCAATGAACAAAAAACTGAAACCAAGAAAACTGAGAAGGACCTTCAGTCATTGGTTAGCCTTTCTGTTTTGACCGAAACAGACCAACCTACTAATAAACCTTCAGAAAACCCAACCGTGTCAAATCCACTGATGCCTCAATCCAAACCGATGAAAGCTGAATTGCCTAAAACTGATCAAGTGCCAGACCTGACCAGCCCATTTCTCACAGCTTCATCATATGTAGATATGAATGATCCTGATAATAGGCTGATGTTCTTTAAAGAGTTGGCAGCCAAACGAAAAGCTTCAGCAGCCAAACAGGGAAAAGCTCTGACAGAACCCCAGAACACTTCAGTTCTCCAGAGTGAACAGAATCCTCCAATGGGAACACTAGAAAGTAAAAACACTTCTCTAAGAGAGGGTTTGTCAATGAAAAAAACTATGTCCACAGAGACATCAGGGAATGAAAATACAAGGAAGAAGGACAGTCTTGTAAAAAATGATTCTATTACTCTCAACACCTCTGAAGAACAAGCTCCCAAAGTTACTGCTGAAACGGTTAGAACAGACATACAAAAGCAGTCTGATGAACAAACAGAAACAAGTCAGAGCAAATCACCAGAACAGTCAACTGTATCAGAGCCATCTCTTGAAATAAAATCACCCAAGCAAGCAAATGCTGCTGACGCTACTGTTTCATCTTGTATAAACAGCGCTGACAAAAGAGAAAACCTTACTTTAGAAACTGTACCAGTCATTCCCAGTTCAATGGAAGGTTTAACATCTTCTGAATCATTTCAACCAGAAACCAACATCTGCTCCACTCCACTTCCATCTGAAGCAGAACCTGCATCAACCACAGGCTCATTAAATCCACCAGAGCACACCTCTACCTCTGATAGCCCTCCACTTGTTTCAGATTTGCAGAAACACCCTGTTGCTGCAAAACAGACATTGCCTTCTGATTCTGCCCAAGAAGTCTATAGCCCCCCAAATGATACTATAACACTGCCACCAAATGTTGATGAAATCAAACCTAAGCAAGAATCCTCCAAAGACACTTTAGAAATCTCTGACAGCCAACACAACCAAACTCATCTGGAAGATATTCCCAAATTTGAAAACACCTCAATGGACAATGCTAAAATTGTAAAGACTGATGTTTCTCCAGACAAACAGGCCGCTGTTCTGGAGCCTAACAAGTTAAATTCCAGCACAGGGACAAATATGGAAGAAGCTACTGTTAAACCTTCAGTTGAGGGATTAGGGGAAAATAGTATTAAATTAGAGCAAAAAGAGCCAGTTGCAAAAGAATGTGAGGTTCTTGAATCACCTGAAGATCCTAAAACTTATAGTGGATCTCTGGCGCTTTGCTCATCTACACCTGATACCAGTTTGTTCTGTGAATTGGGTCCAGAAGGCTCAGTTTCAGAGCAACATTTGGAAAATACAGCTTTGTCTAATACAGCTTCAGGTGACACCCACACCCAGTCTCATATTACCTCAGCTGTGGAGAAAACCGAACATCCCCAAGACACTTCAACGCAAAATGCTCTCTCCTCTTACGTAAATCTAACAGATATGAATGCACCCCCAGTAGTTGAAACAGCATTGCCCCCCGCAGTGTCTGCGGTGTCAAACCTTGCAGATACTACCTCTATGTCAAGTGAGACTCAACCACAATCCAAGGGATCAGCTCAGACAACGAATGAACCTACTACGGTTGCCCCAGCTAAAGTCGATTTGCTCTCCAAAGCATCTGATGCTGTCTGTCCTGAAAGCCAAACAGCAGAACCACTTGCGCTTAAAGACAGGAGCCAGGAGCCACCAACAGAGGAGTCTGTGAGCAGAGAGAGAACAAATGACAATTCCAAGCAGAGGAACAACTCTGAAATGACTGAGGTAACATCCAATGAGACCAAACCAAAATCAGAGGAATCTCTTGATCAGCCAATAGCTCAGTCACTGAGTGGACCTACCATGGTGTCCCCGACTGATGCTGATTTAGTATGCAAACCATCTGAAGCAGTCAGTCCTGAGAGTCAAACACCAGAGACACCTGTCCCTCAGGAAAGTAGTAAGAAAGATCAGAAGTTAGTGAAGACAGATGAGAAAAAATCTGTCAATTTATTTGACAAAGATAAGAGCCAAGAACCATCCACCGAGGAGTCTGTAAGCAAAGAGAAATCAAAAGACAAGCAAAGTAACCATTCTGAAATTACCGACGTCACGTCCAATGAGACCAAACCAAAATCAGAGGAATCACTTGATCAGCCAAGAACTCGGTCATTGAATGAATCTACAATGGTGGCCCCGACTAAGGCAGATTTAGTATGCAAAGCATCTGAAGCGGTCAGTCCGGAAAGGCAAACACTAGAGACACCTGCGCCTCAGGAGAGTAGTATAAAAGAGCCTGAGTTACCGGAGACAGATGAGAAAAAGTCCAGTAGTGTACTATATAAAGATAAGAGCCAGAAACCATCCACTGAAGAGAATGCAGGCATAGAGATAACAAAAGATGAGTCAAAGCAGAGTAATAGCTTTGAAACAAAAAACGTAACATCCAATGAGACTCAAATAAAATCTGAGGAATCTCTTGGCCAGCCAACAGCTAATTCAGTGAGTGAATCTACCGCGGTGGCCCCAGCTGAGACTCATTTACCCTGTGATACATCTGAAGAAGTCAATTCTGAAAGCCAAACACCAGAGACACCTGTGCCTCAGGAATGTAGTAAGAAAGAGCTTAAGTTTGTGGAGACGGATGAGAAAAAATCCAACAATTTACTTGACAAAGATAGGAGCCAGGAACCCTCCACTGAGAAGTCTTCAAGCAAAGATAAGTCAAAAGACAAGCAGTGTAACAACTCTCAAATGGCTGAGATAACATCCAATGAGTCCAAACCAAAATCAGAGGAATCACTTGATCAGCCAACAGCTCAGTCATTAAATGAATCTACAATGGTGGCCCCTACTAAGGCTGATTTAGTATGCAAAACATCTGAAGCAGTCAGTCATGGAAGCCAAACACCAGAGACACCTGTGACTCCGGAGAGTAGTAAAAAAGAGCTTGAGAAAGTTGAGACAGATGAGAAAAAATCTAATAGTCTACTGGATAAAGATAACAGCCAGAAACCATGCACAGAAGAATCTTTGAACAAAGAGAAAACTAAAGATGAGTCAAAACAGAGTAACGGCTCTGAAACAACGGAGGTTACACCAAAGCAGCCCAAATCAAGTCAGTCTCGCTATCACTCGTCGACAGTGAACGTCATATCCAGCAGCAACCTGCGAGACGACACAAAGCTTCTGCTGGGACAGATTTCTGCCAACTCCCAAAGTAGGAATGAAGCAACAAAAGATTCCCCTGTCACAGATGACGAGAAAGAAGACAAAGCTGACAAAAACGCCAAAAACGAGAAGGGATTGGGGTACAGGACGTTAAACAGAGGGTCTACTAAATCAGTTCAGGAGCGCGAGCAACTGCTGGAGAAGATTCAGACCATGAGGAAGACGAGGAAAGTTTACAGCCGTTTTGAGGTATGAATTTCTTATCACCTTTCTGAATGTTTACGTAAACATTTGATTGCAAATGTAGTAAATAATTTTCTCTGTTTACATTCTCTTTAACAGATGGCACCTTGAGAGGAGTCTAAGGAAAGTGATAAAAGGGAAAGACGTTTTTGGGTCTACAAGGTTCTTTCTGCTTTTGCTGCAAACAGGCTTATTACGCACAAAAGTTTAAGGGGACCAGTGTTGCATTAATTTACCATCAGTAGATACATCCACCAACGACGTTCCATGTTCAGTAAAGGACTTCTGACTGATGGCATCGGAACTGTACGACCAGAACGGACAGGAAATGGGTTCAGAAGACATTCAGCATTGTTAAAGCTGTGTTTACTGACTGCATGGGTAAAGTGCAATGCATGTTTTTGTGATGACACCTGTTGTGGCTAATAGCACTGAATCTAAAGTCCACTTGTTATGTGACCTTATAGGAATCTGAAGTAACCAGTTTGTAAAACTGGTAGAACTCTAATTTGTTCTGTAATATATTGCTTGAATTAACTTTTGAGAGAATATGATGGATATTCATAGATTAACCTGTTAAAACAGTGGATGTGTACATTTTCATCTATGAGTAAGAAAGAAAACTTGAACTCATGGATCAACAGAAATGGATTAGCAGCCTTAGTGCTGAAATAAGTCTAGAGCAATATTTGGACAGAATGTGATGTTTTGCTCACTTAACTTGAGAGACATTGAAATCAACTTTTGTTTGTTTTCAAGGTGCAGTTTGTTGTATTACCCCAAAATTGCCATTTTAATTTAGAGAATTTCTTTGTGTCATTGTAAATAAGAATCTCATTTGAAATTAACAAGCTTTGTTTATTTGCATCTTTTTGTCACCATATTTATAATTTCTTAACAAAACTTCTCTGATGGCGAAACAGAAACTGTTAAAACCCATTAATGGTGGATTAAGTCAATAAAAACCTTGTTCCCAGAGGTATATACATGTATAAATAGCTGTTTAAATATGTCTATAAAAATGTTTAGTTACATGCTTACTAAGTAATGAAATACATAAGCAATTGTTACTCAGTTTAGTCTAAAGGCTCTTGTGGGCTAAACATTACATGACCTAAAGACTAAGCAAAGCTGAGTCCAGGATCAAAGCATTGCATTTACTCTGGCGCCATCATTTGGTCAAACTATAACTGCAACACAAATCTTTAAAAAACGTATCATCTTTTGTGTTACACCTTTAAACCATAATGACCTCTGAGAACATGTGCAAATACTTGGACTGTATTTAATTTAGCTTTATTACATAATTGGTCTTGGTCTCAGTATTCTTTTTTCCCCCAGCTTTTTCTTGTCATTACACTGTCACGACTGCAGAATGAAATTCACTCTGCATTTAACCCATCCCCTTGGGGAACAGTGACTGCCATTGTGCAGTGACCGGGGAGCAGTGTGGGGTTAAGGGTCTTTGCTAAGGGACCCAGAGCATCAGTCCTTGGGAGTGGGGCTTGAACTTAGAACCTCTAGATTCCAAGCACAATGCCCTAACCACTAGGCCACCGCTCCCACTCTTCCTGGTCTCTGTAATGTCTTGGTCTCAGTTGGTGCGGTCTTGACTACAACACTGGGTAAACCTTTAACAGTTGTTCATGAGATCAGGATGGACACGTGAAGCAGGCAGGACAGTTGGTGTTTCCTCCATAGATTTTTTATTAATTGCTAATTCATAATGGATTTATCAGTCATTTACAGCTTTCAAAAAGATTTAAGAACTATAAATGTAGTTGTTAGGGAATGCCATTACCTGGCACAGAAAACAGAGGTGCTACAGGACTCATCATGATGCAGACCCTAAAAGGAAAGAGGAATTACTAAGAAAAAGAAAAGTGGTGAAAGGACAGAAAAAAAGAGTACCAGACCTCAGTGAAGGTGGAAAGAGCAAAGAACAAAATGTTGAGACAAGAAGAGAAATAAGAGACCTTGGAAACCAGGGGAATCCCTCTGCCAATTATCACCCCCCTCACAAGTCCAGAGATTCCTAGAGGCAGAAAGTACTCCCAAGCATATGCTGTTCATTTTGAGATGCATTGCCCTGGGTGTTGAGATTTGTTGTGGAAACTCATGAACTGTTGGAATGATAGCTGGGTACTTTGTCATTTCGACTATATAAGATTGTGTGCAGTCAAAGGTTCTGACTATTGTCTGTATTAATTCACCAAATGGTGTCTGGGAACTAGAAGATTCCTGGAAGGTTGTATATCCTTGTTCTCCAAGGAGACTTCCAAAGCAATTTCAGTAAAACTTTAACTACCGGAGTGGCAAGGTAATTAACAGCAGTGATCATCTCTTTATTGAATTTCTGGGATTGACATTGTGTCTCCCTAATGAACAAAAGCTGGGTCATAAATCTTCTTGGTACACCTTTATGGCACCATGTCTCGGGAAAACAGGAGTAGAAATGTCAGCTGACAACCACCCGGTGGTGAGATGATTCCATTACTGAAAGAGAGAGCCAAATAGACCTGGTAAGCCCAAACAAGTGGTGAAGATGAACTGGGAACACTTGGCTGAAGACCCAATTTAAGCTCCGAGTGAGTTTCTCTGATCCAGGAATGGTTGAGGATACAGGATCTAGTTGGACATGAACACGATTCTCATAATCAGTGGATACCAACAGTGATGGATGCTGTCACGCTGAAGAAGTTCTACAGGACTTCACTGTCCACTTAATCCTAGAGCCGCAGCTAGACAGTGGGTGGCAGAAATGGCCACCTGGTTTAATGACAGTTAACGAAAGTGTTGCATCACCACAACCTGCAAGATGTCTTGTTGCCAATAAGAGTTCTCATATTCAGGTAAAGATTATTTAAACTGCTAAAGTGTTTGGGTTCTCTACGGCTTCCTCCCAGGGTCCAAAAACATGACTGTTTGGTCAATTGTCTTCTCTAACTTCTCCTTAGGTGTGAGTGTGTGCATGAATGGTTGTTTGTCCTGTGTGTCTTTGTGTTGCCGGCAATGGACCGGCGACCTATTCAGGGTGGACCCCGCCTCTCGCCCGTAGACAGCTGGAGATAGGTATCAGCACCCCTCATGACCCCGCCTGGGATAATTGTGATGGAAAATGGGTGAATGGAAGTGTCTGGAACTCCTTTCTTAAAGGTGTTTTAAATAAACTTTTCTTGATGCCTGGACTGAAAATCCTCTTAGGTTGTTTGTAATTCTTTTATTAGTTTGTCTTACTAGAAGTTGCATAATTTTTAGTGTACTTTTTCCATCATTAGACACAATTCATAGGTCCATACAGTGAATTCTACAACTGTTGACAATAGCACGACTGTTCTGAAACTTAAGAGCTGCGAAAGAGTAGTGATGTCATTTGGTACAATGGCTCTGAAAAGTGTTACACAGCTAATTTTAGCATTTAAGCTTAGAATAATAGATAAGACCCATAAAAAAGAATGTTAATGCAAAGATGTTTGCGTAGATATGTTTAACACTTCTTAGAGGTTGTTATGCTCAAAAGTTATTGTAATCTGATAAACAAACCTTATGGGAAAGCATTTTTGTTTACTGAAAATAACTACTTATAAAGGTAATATGGCACTCTTTAAAGACAGACAGACAGACAGACAGACAGATGGATAGATAGAAGGGAGTGAAGAAAAGAGGGGGACAGCATGCAGCTTACATGGCTGTGTTGAGGACTAAAACCTCCATATATGGCTCTTTCACCAGCACCACATTCAGCATATGATCTCATTGGATTAATTTTATTGTTTCAAATTTTTCCAGTATAACCAAGCGTGTTAACATCTGACTGTCATTCATTTTCTGCTTTCGGTTTGATTATAAGATCAACAAACTTTAGTTTAGTAAACCCAGTTCCCCTGCAGTTATACTGAATGTGGGTCTTAAAAGGGAATTAGGAATAGAAAAGAGACTTGCTGTTCTTGATGGTTCTTCTCTTGTGAAACAGATTAGGCTCCCAGATTGAATAAATTCACCATTGAGTCACATGGCACAGAGGGTTTGATTATGAAAGAATATATCTTACGTTTCATAACAAACAGAGGGCCTCTTGTCTAAAAATGTCACTTAGGGTCCGCTGCTCCCCAACGCTTTAATAAGCTTGGACTGATTCACACTAATCTATAAAGACCTGCACTGCCTGAAATACCTCACATCTGAAGGGAATACTTGGGCTCGTTTAGTGAATAGTTTTTCCAGAGTTTTTAATTTATTTGTGTCAGTTATTAAATATAATTCAGTATAAGCTTTAAAAATGATTGCAACCCTGAGAGGAGCATTCCACATCACAGCGTTCGGTTGGTACGCTTTTGTTGTCAATTATCTGGCAGCGAAGGATGGAGAAGAATTACCTAAAGGAATTTTCGTCTATGGGGGACCATGGAAGTACCTTACTTTTTTAAACCTGGTGAGCACATTTAGTGGTGTAAACTGCAGTGATGTTTAGAGCTCTGTCATTTCTTTTCTACAGAAGAAACTGAAATATCTATTTTGGTTTTATTTTAGCTGCTGCAAATGACGTTCTTTGGACTGGCAGCAGTGAATGATCTCCAACCAGGCAAGAAGGCAAAAAGTGTTTTGAACAGATGGAAAGATCTCCTTTTCTCTGTCTTTGCATTCCCTGTAGGGATGGTGAGAAAATTCTTTTTTCATTGCAATACAAAAGAATTAAGGCCCTCTATGAAATATTTAATTCTTCATCAATGTCTAATCTATCATCTGTAAAAGAAGGTGGATTTCTTTGCAGCCATGAAATTAACAATTTGTTTTACAGCAGAGGAAAAAGTTCCATCTCTGGACAGTTGCTCCCAATTGTCAACAACAGCTGTTAGATGTTGTTGAGCGTTTCTTGCCCACACATACTGTTATCAATCCACAACATAACATCTGTATGATATTAAAAACTGGACTTTGATTAAGCCCAGGACTCCTTAAACACCTTCTTATACTTAATTCTTGGTGGATTCTATGTTGGAGAGAGACGTCCTGCTTTAGCAAAGCATCCTCAGATTATGAAATTTTTCACCTCTCAGAGTGGGATTCCTCTGAAAAGTATCTCAAACTCTGGAAATTATTTCCCAGAGCCAGATGATAATCAAACAAATTTGCTTTCACAAACAGACCATTATGTTTGTTGATATAAGGTTCCACTTAATATGTGTATATGGACCTTTATTGAAAATGATTTGGGGAGTAAAATTGTCAGAAATCGGAACGTCGGACCCAGAATTCAGGCAGAAAGATCAGAGTGATTTCAAACAAAGCGTTTATTAACTGCTGAAAACTCAGTGGCTCGTCAGCTGAGGAAGGATAGCTGGGATCTCTGTGGAGGTGGAAACTTAGGTTAGGGACCATGAAACTCTGATGGGGAACGAGAGCGAGCATCTGGTTTATAAAGTCATTCCGAGCCCAGAGGAAGGAGTGGAACCCAATAGGATTATTTTTCCACAGCATGCGGCGGGAGCTGCTCAGAGAGTTCCAGGAGTGAAGCAAAGACTGATGAGCAGAAGCCAGCAGACGTAGAAGTATACGGAGGTAAAATCCACAGACAGCGTCGATGCAGGAGTAGGTTTCCAGGCCAGAAGATCACAGATCCGAAGATGTACCGAAGGGAAATCAAACCAGAGTCAGGAGACAGATCCAAGGTCGACACCAGGCAGAATCCAAATGGCAGTCCAAAGACAGGTCAGTAGAAACAGATCAGAACAGGGACAAGCAAAAGTCAGAAGTCCAGAGGCAGAAACTAGTCAGGATCAGGTAGTCAGAAACACACTAGGTACGTTAGAGAACTCTCACACACGGCTCGAATAATCTGGTACTGATGACTGGGAACAAGCAGTTTAAATAGGAACTGGAACAGGTGGATCTGATGAGTGAGAATAAAAACTGAGTGGAGTTAGATAGGTGGAAGAAAAGAACCAACAATAAAGTCATCAGTGCCAAGATCATGATGACAAAAATCGTAGACCACGGAGACGGAAAGGGAGGTTAGGAAGACAGGGGAGATAAGACCTAAGAGCAGAGAGAACAAGATAGAGACAGGAAAGAGGGAAGAGAGAGAAAGATAAAAAATAGAAGATATACAGTAACTGGTAGAAGTTGACTTTCATACCTTTATGAGACAAGCTGCATCTTAGTATTTAGTATTAGTGTGTATCAGTGAACAACCCGGAACCAAACTCCTGTGGTATGTATGCATGGGAATGCTTGTGTATAAAGGATTTACAAAGCTTCAGAAGAAAAAGACTCACCCTACAGGGCCCAGGACAGATGAACAGGTGATGCAAGCTCCAGATATCGATGGCAGCTTAGCTCACTGGGACATAAGGAGGGTAGACGTAGGGATGGCCGCACCCACCAGAGAAGGGCAGACAAGACCACCTGCAGCCCGACTCCTAAGAGGCCAAACCCCGAAGGGGCCCAGTCCCTGAAGGGATTGAACTGAGAGGCCATCATGGCTAGGTCTCACTGGGCTGTGGAGGGGAGCCTATGAGCTCACGCCCAAGGTGGACCCGGATGAGAGCCCAGGGCTCCAGTCCCGGGGTTGCACCACCCCCTGGTGGAGACCCCACAGGGCCAGGAGGCTCAGGCCAGCCTGGTAGCCACAGTCCACATCTATATAGACTTCTCAAGCCCATGACTGCAGGCAATCACAACTCCAGCAGTCCAATACCCAAGTACGGCACACCAGCCACCTGAGCCCAGGTGCCAGGCATCCCCTCACCCGACTGCAGGCTCAGGCCATGCTCAGGGTCAAGGCAGGCAGCCAAGCAGACTCACAACACAAGCTGAGATGCATCTGGGCATAGTGGTTGTATCCCTCTTGCCGTAAAGCCACAGCCAAACCTTCCAACATCCCAAGCCATGACCGGCTTAGGATGTTGGAAGGTTTGGCTCCAACAACCCAGGAGAAAAGGCCCCATACCAGCCCCCCTCCTGATCGGGTGTAGTGTTGTTATCTGTTGGACTGATGTGTATTTAAAACCTGGGGGTGGTTAGGTATAATTGAACTTTATAATTGAACTTTATTGATCTCAGATTGGAAGTGTCAGCCGACTTTCAGAACACATAAAACTAGGACACACTTGCTCGCACAGTTCCCCCTCCACCCCCTTACTGACAGTGTGTACCCTCTGACAGATTTGAACACTTATTGAACTAGAATCTATTTTTTTCATCCATCTAATTATGTCTTTTTTTTATCCCCATTGCATAGAAAATCATATTAAGTAAATATTTTTCTGCGTATCAATATCAAGTTTTAGATTTTAGTATGACAACTCTAATGCCTAGAGTGCTGACTTTGGTTTAATCCAAACACGTCATCCTTTCTGGTGTCCAAATATTATAGGTGCGTCTTAAAACATTTGGAAATACTAATTTCTTACTAATTTCAGAAAGTAAAACTTGTATTTCATAGATGCCTGCCTGCCTGTAACCCACGTACATACGGCAGCCTTGCCTTTTTCAGTCCACCCCACAATGTAGCTTACCACCATCAGTGTGTGAATCACTGAATGTAGTTTGAAGGGCTTTGATAAATGCTGTTGTGTTGTGAAAGATTCATTTCATATCCATTCCTGATTATATTAAGTGTTCATTTGAATTGCTTTCAAACTATTTCAAAAATATTTTCTCAGGCTATCACACACCTGCAAGGCTACAGTGTTTAGTCATGATGGGTTGTTTTTCCAGTATGAGATTTTTTGAAAAGGAGCAGCAACTCCTTCAGGCTCAAGGTTATTTCAACATCTCTTTATTTGAATCAAACCTTTTGTAGCTTATTTGGTTAAGCTGTATATGAATCCCTCCCAGCTCTCTGCTCTAGTTTCAAGTAGTAGAAATCTTGGTCTGACCAGAAAAGACAGAACATCTGGAGAGCTAGTTCCTGTGTTCTCCATTACGGAGATTAATAAATCCTGCTTGAACGAAGGCCTCCAATTTCTTTCTTGCTCAACCACAAGACCTTTTTATTTTTTTCTGATAACAGCGTATAAGTACAAACCATTTATTCACTGTATAGATTGAATATATGTGGATTTTCTATGTAAACAAATCCTTAATCTGGCCTTTTTTCAGAGAAAGCTAACATTTAAAGATGCAACTGTTTTTGGCATTTACTTAATCATGTTTAGTTACTTTAACACATTTTTTTCATGCCAGCAGGGTTGGACATAAAACATTTGTGTTAAAGTAACTAACAATGATTCAGTTAATGCCAAAAACTGTTGCATTATTTTTTTCAGAGTTTGCTGTAGGTCCTATGGTTGCATATTGGTTTTTTTTAACTCTTCAATAGCACCTTTTGGCCTCCCAACCAGACCTTGGTATGTTGGCTGACATTTTAAAGGTCCATTCTTCTTATACATCTGTAAGTCCCTTTTATAGGCCCAAACATTTTTTTAAAATTTTCTTTCCTAATGACCTCAGAAAGACCTCAGAAAGCTGTTTCTATATCACAGCCTGTCTCACTCTCCATACTTGGTCCAACAGGAAAAACCTGTTCAAAATGCTGAGAGATCCTTTTCTCTTCACGTGGACCTGATGTGAATCAGCTGGGTTTCACTGTAGGCATTTTTCACTGGAATTACTCTTGGGGTGTTCTTATTATTACCAGAAATAGCTTCCTGTAAAAAACAAAACAAAAAAAAGTTACAGAAATTAAAAATTTAATTAAATTCTTTTATATTACTGTAATTTTTTACAGTAGATTTATTATACTGAAATATGTTTAAATACTGACATAAAGTGTTTAATTCTATTCTTCTACAAAATAAAAATAAAGCATGTTAAAATAAAACAATGATCCTGATAAAATGAGTACTCTGAATAAGTCTCTGTTCTCTGCCTCTTAGTTTGTGGTTCTGCTTTTCTGGACAATCTTTGCCTATGACAGAGAATTAGTCTACCCGGCAACCATCGACGCCTTCTTCCCTCCTTGGATAAACCACGCCATGGTACCTCTTCTTGTTTGCCTTCTGTTGGTTATTTTTGAACGCCAAATATTTGAACTCAATGCAACTCTGCTCTGGTGTTTCCTCAGCATACGTTTGTCCTTCCTGTTTTACTTGGAGAAGTGTTGGTGCAGCCTCACACGTACCCACAGATGAAACATGCGCTGGCAGCATTGTTAGTTGTGGGCTTGGCTTATTTATCCTGGTAAGTGCCATTATAGTGCAGTCAGTGAAGTAAACACATCCAGCATATGTGCAACTCAGCACCGTTCTGCTAAAGAGTAAAAGTGTTTTTCCTTTAATCTGTAACATTACACAAAAATTTCTACTTTTAATTGAATGGAAGGAGAGGCAGTGTGAATGAATAACTGGGTAAAAAAAACTACAAGGAGGCACAGCTGAGGACAAAAGAGATCAGGGGTGGATTTAGGAAATTTCGGGCCCTAGGTAGAGACAGGCATGGGGCCCTCTGAATTTATGAGACAACACATAAAACAGACCCATTATACAGATAGAGAATGTTAATAGAATAGATATCTATTATTTATTCAAGTTTTTGTCCCTCTCTTCTTGTCTCTTTTCTTTTTGTTTTCCTCTCTATGTTTTGACTTTTCATGCGTCTCAAAAACAATGAAAGATTTTTTTCCAAGCACTAAGCTCACTTAGCTGATTGCTCCTTCCTGTGTTTCCAAAAAGGCAAAAGTAAATAACCCAGTCCTTCTTTTCACTGTAGACAAGCCATGATCTGCTTCTCTGTTCTCCATTTTTCATTTAGATGAAATAATAGCTGCATGAATCATGACAGCAGACAAGATAGAGGAGAGCAGGAGGCGGGGTTACCAATCTAATTGCTCTGGAGAGCAGAGTTCGCTGCTTTTAGATGTTGTCACCAGTGTCTCCAGTAGCAGAAAAAAGTCGCTAGATGTGGCGCTAGGCGTTTTTTTTAAATAAAAGTTCTAGAGAGGTCAGAAAAGTGGCTAAATATAGCGACTAAAGCGCTAAGTTGGCAACACTGCTCTTTGCATCGTTTTTTTTCAAATGGTTTGCTGCTGTCTGTTTGGACCTTTCTGAACATGTGCAGCAAATGGACTGATCCAATATGGTGGACACTGAAGGGGGGTGATCAGAATGATTAATATTATTATCATTCTGATGGCATTTTAGCAAAAGGGTTTTTATCAAAAGCATAATTAATGTGCACAAATAAGGAATAGTTGTATTAACCATACATGGAAACAGAGTTGTATGGGGCCGCCAGGAACTTGGGGCCCTAGGCAACTGCCTATTTGTAAATCCCCCCCCTTGGAAGAGAAAGCTGACAGAAAACAAGCTAATATGGTTTATGATAAAGTGAAACATTAGAAAAGACAGCGGGATCAAAAACTGAAACAACTGGAAATACAAGAGCAAAACTGGCAAAGCAGCTCAGTCACTGGTGTTAAATGAAAAACAGGAGGTAAAGCAAAACACAAGAAAACAAAAGTGTTCTTCTACCAACTAAGGAAATAAGACGTTCTAACTACATTTGTGCTCCTTTAAAGGGGCTTAAATAGTTCCCTGCTGAAGGGGGCCTCTTGTTTTCATTCAACCCAGAGATGATCAGCATACCACCAAACAGAAACTATCAACTAGATGAAAAGAGAGAGTTATCATTCCGTTAAGAGAAAAATGCCTGACTGCCCATATATCATCTGCAGATGGTATTCATGACATGTCAGCCTTTTCACATTCTGTCCTCTTATAATCACAATCTGTTGAATTGTATGTGATGGACAAGCACAAAGTAGGGCACAGTTGTTTTTGTTTCATTTCAGTCTAAAAAAGTCGTCTGTTAATTCATATTCAACCCCTTTTGCAGATGAAATTGAATATAACCAGTCCCTTTAAAAGGCATCTAATAAGAAAACTTAATTTCTTAGATGATTGGATAAATAACTCTGATTTAACAGCTAAACGCACTAAAATCTGTGCTTTCAAAGAGGCATGCCAGCCCAACAGATCCTGATCACCTTTTATCTAAGTTTTTATTTTTATCTGAATACATAAAAAAAAAAATATTGCTTCTTTTGAATTTTCCGACAGTTTTTATATTTTTTATCTTTGTTATTTCTGTATTTTATCGCTATATACATAAAAAGGATTACATATAACATTTACCTGAAGTTAATTATTCCGCTTTAATTCATTAGAAAACGCCTTGATTTAAAAGGTTTTTGCAAGGAAAAATGCAGAGATTTTAAAGTGACATTTATATGAAACGAATAACCGGAGATATTCTTCAAATGCCTCCAGTCGTCTGAGTGAGACTATTTCATGAAGCTAAAGTCTTTTTGTGATTAACTGTAAGCGAAAGGAGCAATGTTCACAAGAGCCTTCTTCCTGCATGATAATTATACACTTGGAAGTGAATTTGGTCAAAGAAGTAACCTTAATCTGACAAAAGTAATAAAATATATACATTTTCTATGATAGATTCTCCTCTGGTCCGTGTTGAGTGCGATACACACCATGTCACCAAACAGCATGTACAGCGTATACATTTATATATATATCTATAAAAAAAGTTAGAACTGCAAATATACAGTCATATGTTTATATTGCTATTTTTTTATGTATTTATTACTGTTTTCAAGGCTGCATTTAAAAAAAAAATGAAATTGTCTAGAGCTGTTTTAAACGAAATTTTTTTTTTATATACACTTGTGTATACAAAATGACAAAATAAATCTGTCAAAGCACAGTGACTACCTTTAGCCCGATACATAGAGGTCCGTTGGATAATCACAAGATAATAAACAGCTGTGATGCTTCTTATTAGCATTATTAGCACACACCATGATTTTAGGTTTGGTAGACATCTTGAATTGAAAACTCTTCCTGGATGGGAAGCGAAACGTCTTCATACTTGGAAAACAAATTCCAGTGGTTTGCTTTCTAACTGTTTTGTCACGATTTTAGTCTCTTTGTTCTAGGGGTACGTCATTTTTTCCATTCCTGTTTCACAGTTGTTGTTTTTTTAATTATTCTTTTGAATCATAGTTAAAAAGCAATTGTCTGAGTTTAATTTGTTCATTTTCATAGAAATCTTATTTATTATTGCTTTTGTCAGATTTTCATTGTCATTTCTCAATATATTTCTGTGACAATTGTGGTTTTTTTTCCTTTCATTAGAGAGACAAATAGCTTGGATTGAAAAACTGATCCTGAAATGAAAACTGAGCTTCAGTTTAAGCCCTTTAAAGATAAAATGAATTACAGTTATATTCGTTCCTGTTATTTTATTGTTAGTTATATTTATATTTCTTATTCCGATTTATATATATATATGTCTGTCTCTGGTGCATTCATGAAGCACTTTGGTCAGCTGAGGTTGTTTTTAATGTGTTATTTATAAAGATTTTGAAAACAACAGAAAAAGAGAGCGGATCCACCCATATTTTAAAACCCGTTTTTTATCTTTGTTGTGGGAATAGGGTGGGGTTTGAGGCCTGTTTTCAGAAGTAATTTAGTGAGGGATTGCTGGGCACCCTGGACGGGTTACCAGGGCAACACAGTGACCCTAAAGGCAATTTTAGAATAACCAATCAACTTAATCGTCATGTTTTTGGACTGGGGGAGAAGGTTTGGCTACCCTGAAAGAGCCTAAAAGCAAAGTGAAAAAATCTCCACCCTAGGTTGGCCTGGTTTGCTGTTTCAAAGAGATTATTAGACCAGGCTGCACACCCAGATACTTCCCACGGATCGTTTTGGTGGTAGTGTTGCTTTAGTATCGCACTAATTGGAAGAAAAGAAATTAAAATGAGGAAAATCCTCCTCATTGATTGATCAGAACCAAAAGCAGTTCATCTATCCCCTTCCTCCATCCTGTCCACAATAAAAACCTCGTACAACATTGTTACAGCCATTTCAACACTTCATTGTTTATTAGTATTATTGTTACGGGTAGGCTCAGACAACCTTACGTAGTTCTTTCCTCTTCTTCTTTTACCCAAATGCAATTTTTCTTACATCCACTCTTCCTTCTTCTGGTGAGTTAGGACCATTTTCATTCATTTTTGTCTTTAAGCGATAAGCTCCAGGGTTCAGGTAGACCATGCCAACTCTGGATGCTGTGAACGGTTTGTTCCGGGGTTTAAAGATGTGTCTCAACCAAAATGATTTAATTTGGCTGGATGAAAAATATAACAAAGGTTTGGTGTTAAAGCACATCTAGCAAGGAAAGAACTCAGCCTGCTGTTCTGTCAGATCAGTATACCCATAGCCCAGAGGTCTTCAACATTTTCCAGGCCAAAGACCCCCGAGCTGATGGCGAGACGGAGCGGCAAACCCCTAATTATATATGTTGTATTAAATAGTGTTCTATCAAACTGGTCCTATAGTCACTCTATTACATATGGAGTAATGTAACGAAAGTAATTCTTCCCTGGGATTATTGAAGTATTTCTGATTCCTGGTTGATGGGACAGGTGTTGTGAATGAAACGGTGCCCAGCTTAAAAGAGCTCCTTTGTGTCATTGAATGTGTGCATTGATGACTGAAAGACATCTTCTGCCTCCATTTATCTGTTTACTACAGTTTGTTGAATTCGTGTTAATGCATATTTAAAAACATTTAAATTAGTGGAAAAAATTGCAGGGGGATTATAAAAAAATATATATATTTTTGCCACACCCGTGTAGTACCTCTGTGGAGCCCCTAGGGGTCGCAGACCCCTGTTGAAGACCTCTGTCATAGGAAATATGCACCCACAAGACTTCATATTTTCGTTTATTCCTTTAGCCATGTACAAAAAAACCCCAACAATTGAAGGTTAGATCGCCATACGCTTAAAAAAAAAATACCAAAAAGTATGTAATAAAATTTTTTTTGGTACATGACTAAAGGGATACACACCTGTTGAGGTAGTTTAAAGTGTATTTTTCGTACAAAACTAACAACATATTCTCATTATCAGTTCGTATGAAATTGTACGAAAAGTTATGCACAGTATTTCGTACGTTTTGGACGTTTTTCCTCGAAAAAACAGGTCACTGCGCACAGCAGATCCGCGGACGGACGTAAAACTGGGGGAAAAAAAGTGCAATAATTACTTCTTCAAGTCTCTAACTACATTGCTTGCTGTTTTGTATCTTAGGGTTAGGGTTAATTGTATGTTAAATTCTATGTTATTGAATGGTGCGTAAGATGCGCATGCGCAAGGATATCTTGTCTCAAGGCAAGACGTAAAAATACAAAGAAATATGACGAAAAAAACGTCAAAAACGTACGAAATTAAGTACTTGTCGTACGATTTCATACGAACTCATAATGAGAATACACTGAAACTAAAGGGATGAAGAGGTTTTGACTGGGTATGCTGGTCTGACAGAACACCGGGAATTGAACCACAGACCTTCTGGTACAGCGTTACTATCTGTGCCACCATGCTGCCCAGTAAGGAGCCCCTCTGATGACATGGACAAAAAAAATGTTTAATTGTGGCCGCGAAGTAGCACGAAATACTACTTCGCGGCCATGCAATAAGTATAATGTGCGCATGAAATACTACTTCGTGGCCACGCAATAAGTTTAACGTTCGCACGAAATACTTATTAATAATATCAATAAATCCGTCCCTGTTTTCAGGCTTATGTTAACTGTAATGACTTATCTTGGACAGGCTGCTATGTTAACGGGCCTTTAGTCCTTCGTTTAGCTATGCTGCGGTTGTTTACACTACGCCTTTTCCACCTCAAATGGCGTCTTAGCAACAAATGTCATGTGACTGGCGTAGACCGACTGTGTAAGCAAATCGAGCGCGCCTTAGACCTTAGAGAAGGCGCGCTCGATTTGTTTACCCAGTTGTCCAGGAATGATATTAATATTATTAATAAGTATTTCGTGCGCACGTTAAACTTATTGCGTGGCCACGAAGTAGTATTTTGTGCGCACGCTATACTTATTGCGTGGCCACAAAATACTACTTCGTGGCCACAATTAAAATTATTTTTTGTCCATGTCATCAGAGGGGCTCCGTAGCCCAGAGAGAGAACCATTAGTAAATAAAACCCCAAGTATGTATAGTAAAATACATATTTGTGAACGTTTTAAATAGTCGATGAGGCCTGGTTCTGTGTTTTCTCCTTACCATTTAGCTTTTGGTTTGTCTAAGTTTTTTTTAATGTTGTAGGTCATAAAAATCAGCTGAAATTTGATTTTCTTTTTTTACCCCCCGTTACGTTCAAGCACATGACTCTGTCCGTATGGAAAATGATGTGACTTTAAAAAGATCAACCCTTACTTGAATCTCAGTGCTGAAGAAAAGCATCAATCTTTGCTTGTCTCGACTCGCCCATTTCTTCACAGAATGAAACGGCTGGAGGGTAAATACTTCTTCAAACCTTTTGATATTTCTGCTACATAAAAAGTAACACATTTCCCTTTATGCCGTGGCAGATAAACCACAACCACACATTTTGCAGCAGATATTTTCTTTATTTTCAAGCTTTCCTTTTTTACTGTAAAGAGTAACAAAAAAATGGAAGAAAATATCTGCAGAAGAGTCACAGGTTTGTTTTCCAACAAGACAGTAGAAGACCAACAAACAGCATAAAATACACCTTAAAGAAATCCTCTTTTTATTCTTTTCCTCTCCTGCGTCCTTCAGGATTGTGTGGGTGTATCTGACAGTGGGGGTTTGGGTGTATCCCCTCCTCGGACACTTCAGTGCTGCTGGTCTGCTGGGCTTCTTCTTCTTCAACATGACTGTGGTGACTCTGCTCTATGTGCTCGGGGACCGACTCAACAGCCACGTTTGGAGTGAGACACGTTTATCACCACTGTTCAGTCTCTATTGTGTCACGTTCTCTTTTATATTTATCCCTTTTGTTTTCTTCATTCCAGAACAGGACAAAGCAGAGTGATAAAGAGTTTCTGGGACTGCTCTAACCTTTTGCATAAAGCTACCAGCTTAAAACAATGAGATGTCAAATGTTGCATGACAAGCATCCAAACACCACAATAAATCAGCTTCCTCACACTACAGTCCAGCTGTGTGTTCTGTTTTATCAAAAGCTACCCATTGAAAACCAGCAAACAGGCAGGAAGAGCTGAGGGTGGATCCGGTTTAACCGTCTTTAACCTGAATGAAACGTGTGTCGTTATTAGTCCAAAGCTTCTAGAAGAACAGGTCCGATCTGCAGCGCTGAACAGCACCAACATAAGCCTTTCACTAATCTCCAGATACTCCCAGGAAAATCTTTGGTTTGGGGTCCACTTGTATCCCTTGTCTTGACCCCCGATATGACTTGATCAACCTCCTCTTAGATCTCTGTAGCCTTTCAGGTGGTGCAGGTAGTTTGGATCCGCGTCCACCAGTCCCATAGAAAGGATCTTTGCCAGCAAATGCACATCTTCCTCACTCAGATCATTCTGTTGAGACGAGTTATGAATTAAACGTTTGATCACTTGTCGGTTAAATCAAATATTGTTCCATAAAAAAAGAATACTCACCATTTTGCTGCTGGAAGACGATTCAGGGATTTGGGACTTTTGAGGCTTTTTTCCCTATTGACAGCAATAATCATGTCAGACAATCCGACTGAGAATATTCCTTAGTTCTTTGATCAGATTTAGTCCCAAATGTGTTTTCATAAACCTTATTTATTATATTTTTGAATAGAAATGAAATATTTAAGAAAAACTCACCTCTTTCAGGCCTTTAGAAAAGCAGATTACAACCAAAAGTAGTCCGGCAACGACCTGAATTACAAGAAAAACACCAATCAACACAACTTCTACCTTTATGCACAGAAATAGTGAAATGCTTTCATAAAAAAAGGCCTTTACTTACTCCCACTAAGTGCAACATGTTTGCTTCTCGAGCTTCTGTCCAGCATATGCCTTCATACGTCACTCCTGGTGATCTTTATAAGCCTCAGAAGCATCAGGCCACTGTGCGTAAGCTGCCAGGGGAAATCTCCCAGGCAGAACCTGCAGAACAGGACCAGCTGCATTGACATGAAAGCACCTGATGTTGAGTCTTTAAAACAGTTTAAAGAAGTTATGTTTGTTACGCAAGTGTTTGCGTAAAAAGGGCCCTTAGAGTGGGAAGAAGGCCGTAATCACAGGGGACGCTTAGACGCACTTAAAACCTTTATTTTACCTCCACCCTTAACACCTGTGCAACAGAAAATACTTCAAAGGTTTGTCAATGTGTCTCTGAAGTCATCTCTGATTCTTTAAATGTCATTTAAAATTTTCAAATTGCTTTACTCATCTTTACAGTTTTCCTGGGACTCACCAGCTGCAGCTATCAGGAAGCTGCTTGTTCTGACAAAGAAAACATGCTTTTCCCCCTAAAGCTGGAGAGAAAATGTCAGAGTTTAGACCCGTCCAAACTAGCACCAGATCTGCTAAGCTTGATCTGCCCACAGGCCCCTTTTTAGCAGCTGGAAAAAACAGATCAAATCCCTGCTCAGTAAAATATACAAGATTGATGGTGTAAATGAGTAAGATATTAGAAGAAAAAGAGGGTTAGACGTTTGCCTTGCGTGCACCGTACGAATTCTTGGGGTTGAATATTTTTCAATCTCATCTCTGCAACAAGAATAACCAATAGACTGAAGATGTTTTAACATTATCTCCTCTTTCTTTCATCTTTTCTTTTTTTCTATTTTTCCTTTCCTGTTCTACTTATATTACAGTGTCCATAAAATCTGTAATAATCCCTGCATGAATTATAATAAAGCCATTTATATGCATAAATTAAGCGGAACACTATGGCGATAGCCGTACTGCTCCACTTGTGAAAGCAAAACCTAAAATCTGTTCTACTCTTTTTGGCCTCAAGACAATTATTCTCATTGCTACATCGCCAGACAGGACACTGTTAATAAAAAAGAAAAATAATATCAAATAGGTGATCAAAGTGTTATTATATTCAGAGGTGGAAAGAGTACTAAAAAATTGTATTTGAGTAAAAGTATCTTTACTTTGCCTCAATTTTACTTAGAGTAAAAGTAAAATTACCCATCTCAAAATTTACTCAAGTAAAAGTAAAAAAAAACTTCATTTAAAATGTAAAAATGTAATTTAAATAAAAGTTACTTAATTACTTTGAGTTATTTAATGCAAAAAAGGATGAATCATGAATCAAATTGAGCACAAGATGTTTTAATCGATTTCAAGGTAAAAGTAAAATTACCCGTCTCAAAATTTACTCAAGTAAAAGTACAAAATTACTTCATTTAAAATGTAATTTGAGTAAAAGTTACTTAGTTACTTTGAGTTATTTAATGTAAAAAAGGATGAGTCATGAATCGAATTGAGCACAAGATGTTTTCATCGATTTCAAGGTAAAAGTAAAATTACCCATCTCAAAATTTACTCAAGTAAAAGTACAAAATTACTTCATTTAAAATGTAATTTGAGTAAAAGTTACTTAGTTACTTTGTGTTATTTAATGCAAAAAATTATGAGTCATGAATTGAATTGATCACAAGATGTTCTAATCGATTTCAAGGTAAAAGTAAAATTACCCATCTCAAAATTTACTCAAGTAAAAGTACAAAATTACTTCATTTAAAATGTAATTTGAGTAAAAGTTACTTAGTTACTTTGAGTTATTTAATGCAAAAAAGGATGAGTCATGAATCGAATTGATCACAAGGTGTTTTAATCGATTTCAGGGCGTATTTCAGTGGAAATCCACACTTGCAAAAGATCAGCTGGGCTAAAGAACATACTTCCTCACTGCACAAGGACAGTCACAACCTGAACCATAAAGTGCAAACAATTTTCAATCCTAATGTCCAACAGACAACACCATGATAGGAATAAAGAAATTTAAACTACATTTTAAAGTTTTCAAAATGCACACAAAATTAAATGCCCAAAAGATGCCAGAAATCGAACTAAAACGCAACAGAATGCCACTGTTATTAACAAGCTCCTCATTTAATCATTTTAACTGACACTTGTTTTACTTTAATAGTGATTTTTAACTGACACTTGTTTTTACATCAATTTTTTATATGTTTGAATTGTGTAAATAAAGTGCTGTTAAAAGTCAAAAGTCGTCTTCTATTTTTTAATGGCGAATAAGTGTCGGTTCCGTGACACAGGGGCTTAAATTTCCGGCCGTATTAAATTTTTTCATCATCAGTATTTTTTTTTTTTTTTTTTTACTCAGTAAAGTGAGGGGGTTTTAAATGTAGCGAAGTAAAACTACTTAAGTTAAAATTTACTCGAGTAAAAGTAAAAATTACATATTTCAAAAACTACTCAGAAAATTACAAATTACTCATAAAAAGTACTCAATTACATTAACTTGAGTAAATTTAATTTGTTACTTTCCACCCCTGATTATATTGTTTTGTTTTTTAATTACATGATCATTTTAACATGATTGTCTATTACAGACCTGCCCTAAGTATTTAAAAGAAGCCTACATCGAATGCCTGTGCAGGAGGCTGATTTGCACCCCTGGAGTGAGGTTTAGGGTCACATGCAAATGGAAAGTTATATATAACTGCTGGCTATAGCTGTAGAGAATTAATTTAATGCAGAAAGAGAGGTGTAGCATATCTGTAAAAAACAACAGTATATAATATTTTTTTAATTAATGCAAATGGATCATAACCAATAAGGTCAATAGGCTAGTTCTCAGAAGATAGATACGACTCATGAAACAGCAGACAGAGACTAGAAGTTTGCAGTTGCGAGTGCCTTGTATTTATAGTGAGGAAAATTATATACATATTAACATCATCAGTGAAACATCCAAATTGCCATATAAAATGTGCAAAAGGGGAAAAAAAAAAAATTTAATCAATTCCACAATTAATGAAACCACATCCCTTCAGTCCATTCACCCCAAGCTGGGGTTGATTAAAGGTCCCAAGCAAATTCCTTCTAAAGGGCTTGGTGCAGTGCACGTCATGGACTGACAAAAGTCAGAGCAGAGTGGAAACAAAATTGTTTGTTTAGCGGCAAGGAGCCTCCTACCAGCCTGGCAGGAGATCCAAAGTCTTTGTGTACCCAAAGTACAATCTTTCTTGGGCTCTAGGCCTGGACCTTCAGCTCGCCATCAACACCTGGCCTGAATAATAAAACAGGACCATTTTCTCAATACATATAATCAAAACATTCTAGTGTGCACACAAATTCAGTAAGTGGTACTCTTTGCACTACAGATAATTCCAAACAATAATTTTCAATCAATATGCATATTCAATAAATATAAAGTTCCATATAAATTACATTCATTAAAAATCCAATAAATATGCACTATATAAATTAGTTAACATGAAATGTAAAAAACAACTAATACAAACAAGTGCTCACACTAACACGATAAACCAGATATTTATCAGTATATATTTCATGATTCTGCTCTGCTTTGTTACACGTGTAAAGTTTAACCATCGTTGTATAAATGCACTCATGCACATACTGTGGGAAACAAAAGCAACAATAACAGCAGCAGACTGACTTAAACCTGCCTGGGATCAAACTGTAAGGTGTTATTTCATGCTAAATTATTCATACCTCAAAGATTTCCCTCGTTTTGTCATATTACAACTAAGAGCTTTAAGCTTATTATTTGGTTGGTGTTTTATTTGTCAGAACAGAGCTGCTAATCTTCTGACCTATAGCAGCTCTGGATGTTTAGATGCTGAGGAATTTTATACTGATTCTTCAGCTCCAGCTCAGATTGGATAGAGAGCATAAAAAAAAAAAACATTGCTTTACAAATTTTCCCACAGATGCTGAACTGGATCCTGGTCTGGACTCACATAAACCATTGTACTGTAGCTCTAGATGGATTTTTAGGCCCAAAATGTGAACCTAATCCAGCCTCCATTCGTCTGCTGCTTTTAACTGCTTTTTTTAGCCCTGTTCTGTGTTTAGCTACAACATTATGACGCTGCCACCACCATGCTTCACCATGGCGGTGTCACGTTCACAGTGATGGTTTAATTTTCCAGCAGGTATAGCTTTTTGCATGAACACCAGATACTTCCACTCAAGTCTCATCTGAATAAAGGAGCTTCCTGCACCTTATTCAGGGTTTCTGCACAATAAGGCAAGTTAAATTCAAGACTTTTTAAGACTTTTTAATGCCACTTGAAATAAAAATTTAAGACCAAATTCACAAGAAACACATGAAAAACCTGCTTGCGACAACTAAACCCAAAGGTTTATTTCAACATACGCCACTGCACTGTTCCAAATTTTGAAAAGCTATCGGGACGGAACCAATATTGGCGAGCCGTTATTTCTTTTTTTTTTTATAAAAAAAATTAATAAAAATGGTCAATTTTAAAGTTATATTTAGATTACAAAAATAAATCGTAATAAAAATAATCCTATTTATGATGTTTTTAAAATTAAGACCTACGAAAGACCGATTTAAGACATTTTATTACCAATTAAGGCCTTAATTTTATTTTGAAGAATTCAAT